TCAGAGCCTAAGAAATCCCGACATTACCAGAAGACAGTGTTTTAAACACAAAGTTCAGTTACTTGTCATCTAGAAGGAAGAACAGACTGGAACAGACAATCTCTGTTTAAATTATATTGAGGTCTCAACACAGAGAAGAACCTCACCTAATATTTTTCAAAAGTTTAATTAATTTCTTACAGTAATAATACATGTAAAAATCTATCAGTACTGATTTCTGAAAACAAACCAAAGGAAACCTGAAAATTGCAGTCCATTTAAAATGAAGAGTAAGTTCTAACATTAAGAATCAAAGACAGATTTTCATCAATAAAATTGGAAAATTCTGCATAAGAACTTACATTTGTGTTTGTGAAATATAGACAGATTTGCACTTATGTCCAGGATCGAAGTTTGACAGAGGTTAGGCTCTCCTTTACTGCCTCAGCAACATGCTCTGCACTTCAGCAATTCCTATGACCCCAGCAGTAAAGTCTTCTGCCAGTTTTCTATAATTTTTTTTTTTCACAGAAACTTTGTTTCCTTTCTGTACATTTTTGATAAAGCATAATTTATTCTCAAGTCTAACAAAAAAACGCTATCTGCCTACATGTGCTTCCTGATGCTCATCCGCTTTAAGCTAAGATTTCCCAACCATAAGACATTGGACTTACAGTTAGTACGTAAGTTCCTGCACTCCAGATATTGCAAGACTGGCTTTACTTTTTTTTTTTTTCCGAGATAAGATCAACACAGATTTATACCTCTGAATTGTTTTAAGTTTTTGCTTTCTCGGATGGGAGTTGATTGCATGATACAGGAGGTATACTTTGATACAGTTCTCCTTAAAACAATATATCCAATTCTATTTGTCAGGACAGAGATCATCAGTTAGCTATAGCATTTACTTTGAAAAATGCAATAGGTACAGACTTCACTATCATTAAATTCATGTGGAAAGCTTGCCAAAAACTTTACTTACTTCATGTTCCTTTCTTTCCTCAGTGAGACAACTGAATACAGCAGAACCTTGTGAATATATCATACATTTTTCTTGGTTTTTTTTTAACCCAAATGTAAAATTTTTTTCACCAAAGACGTTGGCCGTTATGCTTTTGTAGGACAAGAATTTTCTTAGATGAAGTGTTTATTGCCTCCCCAGGCTTCTCTTTCTACTGATAAAAAAGTAGTAAAAGGATGGAAGAGGAGTAGCACATGTTCCCAGGATCACTGGCTCCTTCTGAATGAATATCTCAAGAAAGAACATGCAAAATTAAGCAGTGTAAGGCAGCCATAGCCACATAATAGTTTGGGAGCTCATAAAGGAAGAGTTCTCAATTTTCCTCCAATTTCTGTTGAACACAATTGTTTCACAGTCTCACCTGAAGTTTGCCTCTCCCCTGATGAAAGTCATGCAATGGCAAAATCAAACAGGTTCTAAAAATGTCCCTTTTTTATGTGTAGTAAAGTCATTTCTCCATTTCAGACAAATCTTACTTTTACATTATTGCATCTTCACCTGTAAAGGATCATCTTCCTGAAATTTCATTTTACAGAATTTTAAGCAGCATGCATGCTTCCAAGACATTTTATCATAATGAAAAGTAAATCCCAATCCCACCATTGTTCCATATTTTCTAAATGGATTGATTATGTATTTATCTCATAGGATTTCACAGCCTTTTTTCTTGTATTATTAAGTGTAAAAACTGGACCACTTCAAATATCACTGTTATTACCCTAAGGAGTTATAACAATTTGTAGTTAAGGACTAAAGTAAGAAAAAAGATCCCCGCTGAAATGCTGAGAGAAGTGTTACCAATGAAGTGTGGTAGTTGGGGTGTCCCCTGGGAGTATTCCTAAGAGTCAGACTTACAATGTTTTCAAAGTGGAAAGTATATTCAACATGGCAAAATGTGTATTATAACTTAAGGTTTTTAAGACTAGCATTGTTTCCCTATAATACTGTTGGAAAGTGCACCAATAGATCATGTAGCATAAATCTGTCTTTAGTGGTTGAGAAGTATTAACATTTTCTGTGGTTGTTACTACCAACTGAAGTATGTGGCATTTCAAGAAGGCATATAATTTTGGTTGAGGGATTATTTGTTGGTTGAAATGGGGTGAACCAAACCAAAGTGAATAACAGACACAAAAACGTTACAGGCATAAGAATTTTTAAGATTACAAGCTTTTCCACTGTAAATGTAGTTTACAGACTATTTAAACTATCTCATAAGCAAACAGTTAGAAATTGGAACAGTCTCGCAAAACCTCATCTCCTGAGACAGGATTACAGACCAGCCATTATAAATGACATGAAGAAAAATTCATTACATTTGGATGCTGCTCTTAAAAAAAAAACCATGAGGGCTTTCTTTTTAAATTTGTGTGATATTCCGCACAGACACTCATCACAAAAACAAGAAAAGAATAAATTAATTTTTTTTATAATTAGGCACATAAGAATTTAAGTGACTTCCCATTACTGTGATGTCCCATTGCTAAGCAAAGCCTAGTTTTCACGTACTCATTTTACATGATGCTTTTTATTTTTTCTTTTTTGCTAAGACTCCATTTTTACCTACCATGTAAACAAAATCAAGAAAACCTGAAAAC